TGGGTGCCCAGGGGCTCTAACCGAGACCGAGACCGGTTAGGGTTCGTTCCCAGACCCAAAAATAACCTAACTGGACCGAAGATAACCGATGAAAACCGGTTAGTTGCGGTTACTAACCAGTTAGGACCGAAAAAATAGAAAATCGATTAAAACGGCGTATATTTCTCATATTCCTTGCAGTAAACATTATTGCCATGCGTCGTAGCTTTAAAACAAGCCCAAGAACGCTAAATTCGGTGAAGAATTGACAATTTTATAATAATATTCTTGAAAGCCTACTATTTTAGCCAATAATTTAGAGATTTGACCATAACTCTGTCAGATTTTTAGCGTTTCTCATGCTTTTAGATGCGTTTTGAAGGGGTAAAATAGGGTCGGTTGTAACCGGTCATAACCGGTTTTTTAACGGTTAGTTAACCGCAAAATAACCGGTTATTTCATTTCCAGAATTGACTAACCACTAACCGCGGTCCGGTTTTTTTGCGGTTAGGTCCGGTCTGGTCTCGGTTATTTTCCAGTTAATTAACCTAACTTCCAAGCACTACTCTCCACCAACTAGTACTACACCTTTTGACGAAATCGTCTGCAGCTCAGCAGACAGCGGCAAATTGACCTACTGGTACGGCAAGCACCAACTCTTCACCACCCTCTCCCAGCCCATATCCATCGTCAACCTCAACTCCGCAAATGACAATATATCCTACCCATGCGCCCTCCCACCCCGTTTCGCCGCCTTGAACATGGCCATGATATCATTAGCCGAAGACTACAGCCTCGTTGGATTCAAAACTCTCGCAGTCGAGGTACCCAACCCCCCTCTCCTTCTCAAACAATCTCACGCACTCCCAGCCTCAGGACAAAACCTCAATGATCAATCTCACCTGCGTCATCAACCGTGCAACAAGGTACAGCTACATCACTCCTCCCTCCTCAAATCCACCCCATGGTACTCTCAACGACACCGCCGCACCTCCATCCATCTGCGCAAACACGTCTGTGCTCTTCTCAAGCGCTGGGGGGGAGATGAAGGGGATACGAAGTGACGTTAGGGACATCCAGGAACGGTGGCTTGATGCGTTTGAGAGGGAGTGGAGGAAGGAGGGTGAGGCAGGTCGTGCTAGGATACGAGAGCGGAAGGGAGGATGTTGGAATTGATGGATGACGTCGACGCTATAAGAAAATGGTAAGTCAGCAGTTCAAACGCGCTAACGAACCTTGCAAAGCCGGCCAAGGGCGATCGTTAGGCAGGACACACAATGAACGAGCTTTGCTACAGCCAGCAGTAAATATTTTGTAGTGAACGACATGATGTACTTTCTTCTGTCTCCAGGACCATTATATTCTACCAACGCTTACTAACGAGATGAGAGAAGGGTTGTATCCTGAGGTTGGGAAGGTTGAGAATAAGAAACAGAAACTTCAAAAACACTCACCAACGTAACTCTTATTCAACGTTTCTTGGCCGATTCTCAAACAAAAAAATAGATAGAACTTGTATGTTCAGTTCAGTTCGAACCGGTTCAAATACAGTTCTTCAAATTTCTCTCATGCCCGAACTGCGAACTAGAACCGACCACTCGAGCCCGGACCAGAACTGGAACCATAACCAAACTGTCCGTTCGGTTCTGCCAGTTCAGTCCGAACCGATGGTTCGGAACTGAACTTCGGCAACACTAACTAAAATTAATCTTATTCAAGCAACGTATAAACAGTAGATACCATGACGTCTGAGATATGAACCATCTCCATCTCTCCCTCTATCCAATCCATCATGCCCCTACACACCACTTCCTTGTCAGTGCACCCAGGAGCCTGTTTATGATACTGGTGACAGCGATCAGACATTCACGTAGGTAATAGGTCTGTAAATCAATATGAGCAATTGGGGTTTCGGAAAACGAACAGAGAATAGAAATACGCACCCTCGAATACTCAAGTGGACGGTAGGTTTACGGGGCATGCAGGCTTGCCACCGTTCTGAGCAGGAAGAATGAAAGGACTTGAAGTGGTCCTGTCCGAAGTGTGTCGACTATCAAGCCTGATATTACACAGACTAGAAGAACTGATTCATTCTTATTCAACTACGACCGGAACAAGGCGACTCACACAGTGCCTGAGGGTACGCCAACGCCAAATCAGGGCACATCACTCCTCCACCTTGTGTCGAAGCGTGATTGTCCAGTGCAGGGTTCCGCCGCTCCCATCGGCAGCACTGACTGATGATGCTGATGGTCCTTTGGTTGATCTGGAGCGGGCTCTAGGTGATTCTCAGAGGGTGATGATGACCCCGGCTGTGAGGAGCGCAAGGAGAACAAGGACGCGGTGCCAGTGCCCCTGATGACGCGGAAATTTCTGCGCAGGGTGTGGCTTGATACAAAGGAAGCGAGGGGGTTCGGAGAGCTGGAACAAGTGTGGTGAGAGGGATAATGGTGCGGTGACTTACGGAGGGCGAGGAAGTCGGGAGGGATGGAGTGCTACTGATGAGACTTAGTAGGGTGCAAGGACGTGTGAATGAGACGTACGGGTTAAGTGAACTTGCAGCTGTAGGTGGAAACATCGGGAAGACAGGCGTAGCTGATGTCAAAAGAGAGAATATGAAGGGAGAAACACACGCACCCAAGCCCGAAGCCCATAACAAAGCAGGTAAACGTGAGGTTCATGACTGTTCGTTGAATAGGAGCGTTTTTGTAGGCCCGACCATATCACCGGTGACGATGGAGCTTCCAATGGCAGCAGCGAGACGGAGAGAAGAGGTCATAATAGTAAAAAGCCAGAGGACGATAAGCCAAAGCCGTCGAATGAAAAGACAGCGAGCGTACCACTTGTGTCTCGAGCCTCCAGAGACATTGTCCAAAAGGGGGAGATAGTTCGGTTCCCTGTAGTTTAGGTTTTTAGGTCTTCTCCATCCTCAGCCTTGAGAGCGCGTCATCAATATGTTTTCAGACGAATGGTGGGGCGAGAGGAAGTGTGTGTATGGGTGATGATTGATGGGGGATCAACAAACTTCCAAAAATCAACAGGTGATCACATGATGTGCGGAGTCTGAACTAACTTTGATAGTACAGTAGTGTTTGGAAGTCCGGTCTCGTGACTGGAAAAAGACCGTAACCAGACCGGACCAAGACCGCAAAAGACCGGACCTGCGGTTACGGTCTTTTATTTTTGAAATGTAAAGACCGCAAAAAAACCGGTTAACGTGAACCGGTCTTGACCGGTTTGGACCGGTCTTTTATAGCCCCTTAAATACCCTTTAAAACGCACCCAAGAACGTACGATTTGGTAAAAAAACGAGAGAGATATGAATTAAAATGTAAATTACTTTTGGGAATAATAGATGTACCAGACTTATTTTATAGAAGCACCAATTCCTAACGGAATTTAACGTTCTTGGGCTCGTTTTGAAGCTATTAGAGATGTTAATAAATTTACCGATTCATAATTTTAAAATATTGGCCTAAAGACCGGTCATAAACCGGTTAAAACTGATGCAGACCGAAACCGGTCTATAGACCGCAAAAAACCGTGGTCTGCGGTCTTTTTGCGGTCCGGTCTGGTCTTTTGACTTCTGGGGAAAAGGCAGACCGGTTACGGTTACGGTTAACGCCCCTGGGCATCAAAAAACCGGACCGAACCGGACTTTCAAACACTATAGTACAGTCTAAGTACAAACCTCGAGTCTAAGCCTACTGCGAACATGTTCCACGCGTTGAACGCGCTTGCTATCACCATTCTATTCATGCTACATGGCCACCACATTCACCCTGGAAGAACATGACAAGGGGCCCGACCCAGTAAACAACGCCTCAACACAACCTCCACCCAAGACGGTTTCCGAACCAGTCGGCTTGAGTAGGACAACATGACGAAGAAGGGGTCCCAGGTATTTTCCATGCAGAACATTACTCACAACCCTGCCGCTGCCTGGTTTTTCAGTGATAACAAGCAAATCCACCACTCTCCTTCAAGCATGATGGTGTCAACGCTGCTGCGGTGATGCTTAACCCACGACACCAGCACTTCACAGTCGCAGCAACAGTAATCGCCTCACAGTTTGCGGCCATAAAAGTCACCACCCCACCTCATCTTCTCCATTATGTGACCAATGTTGTCGTAAGCCCTCGCAGCTGTTTGCAATCGACGTCCTGGGTGCATCGGTAAGGTTGGTCTTGCCAACTCCCACCCATTCGGTCCTTATTCCAACTACGGGCAGCATTGACTACCAGGTTTCACATACCACCCTCACCCATGAGGTACAGATATGGGTTTTGACGCGTACGGGTTAGGATTTTTTACCTGGGTCATTCACAAGTTGCAATTCGGAAGGTGGAACGATGAAGGTCAGGCTTAATTATATGGGTAACTTAGCTACGTTTATAGTTAAACATCTATTGATTATCATTCATCCTGACAGTGCGGTGCGCATCTGGCTTCTAATGGACACCATATCAGAATGCATGCACAAGAGTATGCATTCTAATTGAAATATCGGTAACTCTACAGATTGCCCTGAAATCGGGTGGTGCAGCTGAGGAATGGCTCACGACGATGTCCTTCAAAACACACGGCCTTCACAACCGAAGACCTCAAGATAAGAAAGACAAACCTTTTGACTGAAAGACCTGATAGCCTCAGCTTGAATATCAAAGAATTGCACCCAAAGACAGAGTCCTCGAAAGACCTCCTTTGCAAAGACATAGTGCTCAAAGATGTGGTTCCCTGAGACAAAGACACCAAAGATCACCCTAACGTTTTCCTGATAGGCTATGACCCAAAGCGTTGGGTCCGCGCGGGTTTTAGAGATGATAGAGTGAACAAAGGTCTGTGTCAGCGGGGTAATGCAATATGTTTTCCCCAGCTGTCTTGAGATGGTTAGAGGAACCGACGACGGAAGGAGAGAAACACACCATTGTCAAAAGTGATCATTATCTAAACCGTTTTCTGTGCCCCTCACCCCTCAACGTCCTTCGCATCTGAAACGGTATTGGCGAGACCCATCCTATATGCTCCATAAATCTTCATGTAGTCAATGTATCCCGTAACGTTACTGATCGATATCCCGTATCGTTACTGATCAAATCCTTCAGTTCTCGCTGGAGATGCCATCAAGATTGCTCACGAACAGTGTCTCGATGCTGGTCTTATCTTGAAGCCCCACGTCAACGATGGTGGAATTGTCATCTGAGTTCAGCTGAAGCTGGATGGGGAACCCACGCCTTTGCCCAACCTTTGCCCACCTGTTTGCATCCACATTGATGTCAAGACCCTTTGCTGTCGTTGAGAGGAGAGAGATCCTCCAACTCGACAACTTCGGCAATCTATAGTCAGGTTATAAGTCAGAGATGATGCAAGGGGGTGCCGGCATTGAAAAAAAAGACCCGGGGTCAATTTTTTTTTTAAGGCGACTTGAAATGGACTAACTAACTAACGTAATCAGGAACATGTCTATATATAGTAATATGACATCATTTGTGAGTGCTTCCCCTGTGTCTTGCACAAGTCATGCAGGCAAAATTCCAGGGTGCTTGCACATGTTCCACACATTTTAGATGGAACTAGGCAAATAACATGAGTTGGAAAATCACTCAGTTCTCATAATACAATGTACTTACCCAGTGTGTCTCGCACACCTTGTTTGCATATGAGGATTTGACGAGGATACACAGCTACCACAGATTGCGAAGCCCTCCGCATCAAGGGCAGGTGGCTCCGTCTCAATGGTGTGATACATAGAATGTGTGAAACCAATGTTAGACATACTGTAGATTTTAGGATATTGTTGGTCAACGGTAATTCAAGTAATGTCAAAAAAAATGCCCAAATATGGCAGGAATTAATGAATATCTTATATCACAGTGCTTGATGGCCTCTATTGGAGCTGTATTCCTCCCAGTACATTCTGTAGTTACCATATTATGCTGCAAGGTACTCAACTTGATGACTGTACTTTACCCTCCCCGGCTTAATCCATATGGAATGCATGGAAGGGGGGTGGATTCCAGGAATTCCAGATGGATTCCATGGAATGGCAGATGGACTCCATACTTTCTGGGGATGGATTCCATGGAATGGCTGATGGACTCCATACTTTCTGGAGATGGATTCCATGGAATAGCTGATGGACTCCATACTTCTTTCAGATGGAATCCATGGAATAGCTGATGGACTCCATACTTT